CTTCCAGCTCATTTGCCTCAGTCACTTTATCTCGTTTCTGGACATGTGCAGATATGGTCATCTGCTTCTGTTTTTTGGGCATCTTCAGGAGTTATCTGTGGACTTAATACTTAGATGGGTATGCATTTTGGTATTTTGTGTGCTTTCTGAATGCCTCCAGGTAGATGTGATCAGGGAATGGGCTTCCCTTTTCACTCTTCTTCCTGAGAAGTTTCAAGATACCACTGTTGGTCGTTTTGACATAACTTAGAATTTAATTTTCGGTCTATTTCCTCTTTTGTTTGCTTGTCCCACTCCACAATTCCCGTTCAGGCCTTTTTTTCTAGTTGGATACAGTTCAGGGCCGGCTGTGGCCGTTTGGTTTTAATTGGAAACTGTCTCTTTAAATTTCGAGGAGATCTGTGCGCATGCGTAGTAGAGCCCTCCGAGGGTGGCGCTGGGATGCCCACTAGCTCAGGCACCCCTATAGTCACCAGAATGGAGGTGTGCAGATAGCAAGGGACCAATGAACAGATACTAGTAGAAAAGAATGTCCACACTTTTATCTCAGCAGTTCTGCCAGGCATCTGTGGCTGTTCCTATCCTTCCCCCGCTTGGTCTCACCCAAGATGGCGGCTCCTAGAGCAGCCGATCATCCCGGACTAGAAAGCAATAGATTTCTTGCTTCTGTCACAAATTCCCCCAGCTGTGAGCCTTCCAACCTTCCAAAGATTCCTTTATATGTGGTTCAGAGTTCTGGGACCAGCCCCTGAGCCTGCTTGGTTGGGTATTCTGTGTTGTTGTTCGCGGAGCTCTTTACTACAGGTCTACCCGATCCGCCATCTTATTTGTTCTCCTCTAGGTTTTGTTTTTTAAATTATGGGTTAATACTATCCATACAACTTTCTAAAAAGGTAAGTCTGGGTTAATCTCTAAGTTTTAACATAGAAAGCATAGCTTTATAGTGGGTTTTCTAGCCACATCTCAGTTGAGCCGCAAAATACTTATAAAGCTCGAATGTCTGTATTTTATAATATATTTTGAAACAGACGATAAACAATTAACAGAGAATGAAAATACTGAATGTCACCGTTTTTTATTTCCAAATGCCAAACTGAGTATCATTTAATTCCCTGTTACCGGTGTAGCATCTGCTTTCCCTTTTTGACAGAAAATTTTGCCCTGTGAGAGTTTGAGATGCCTGTGTTGTTGGGTAACTGAATGGAAGGGGTGGTCTGATGAAGAGGGTGAGAAAAGCTGTGTTGGCCCCTTCAACACATCATTCCAACACACACAGATCGAACTGCTTTATCTTCTCTTTGTCTCCTTAGGAATATAAGCAGAAGCTTGCTCGGGTAACCCAGGTCCGCAAGGAACTGAAGTCCCACATTCAGAGCTTGCCAGATCTCTCACTGCTGCCCAACGTCACAGGGGGCTTGGCCCCCCTGCCATCTGCTGGTGACCTGTTTTCAACTGACTAAGACAGATTTCATGTGGCCCCAGGTTCCCATCTGTACCAACAGAGAGAAGAGGGCTGAAGTCATGGTTGGAAAAAGCTTCTAGCCCCTGGTTTTTTCCCTGCTTCCACCAGCCTCCCAGCCTCAAGGAAGAACCACAGAACTCCAGTTTTCTTCTCTGGCCTCTCATGTTGAGCACAGTTTAATACATTGGCCAGTGGGACCGGCCCAATTCATGTATGGAAAAATGGAGACTCTTTCTCCCACTTCATGTTTTCATGCCCCTCTTGGTTTTCCATTTTTAGCTCTTTTTACATCCAAGAAATTATAAAAATCATGTGTACCTCTGGAGCTCTCAGAAAATTTTGTCCCACAATGGCAGCATCTTCTCATGCAAGCTGTGTCACCTCTGAGCTGGGCTTGTTCACAGAAGAAAGCTTCCACTGAGGCACTCTGCCTGGTGCTGTTGGCTCTCCTGGCTACCATCTGGCCCCCAAGGTTGGAGGCTCACCCATTGAACAGCTTTGCCATAAAAGTTTGCCAAATCTCTGATTCTCCCTTACTATTTCTTATATTGATACATAGTGGAAGGTGCGGTAGGTACATTTATTTTGTAAGCAGACTTAGGGGACATAGCAGTAAAATTCAAAACAGATCTGGGGACGTTGGATGAATAACAGGGATCACAAGCATGAGTTAAAAATAAGTTATTTGCTTCAAATCCCTGCATCCAACCTTCCCAGGCTCCAGTCTTAGCCACTAAGTCAGGGAGAAAGTTCTAAACCACGGTCATCCTCTGGTCCCAGTTGGTTCCTGGTTGGTTCCGAAAGAGGAACGTTCTACATAGCCTAGGGGCTGAGCTGTACAGGGGTGCTGCTTTGATCCTTTTCCTGGAGGGAAAAGTGGGAAACACACACTAACAATCCACTGTGTGGACATCCGTCCACACTTTGGTGACTTAACCTGAAGCACCACCCCCTGCAAGTGGTGCTGCCCTGTGCAAGTTTGTCTGCCACTCAGTTCCTGCTGCCCAAGTCTTTGTGCCTCTGTGAGGAGGAGGACTCGGTATCAGATGTTCCTGGGGCAGGCTTGTGAGAGGGGCAGTCATTTTAGGTTTTAACTCCATTATCATGCCAGCTGATGATTTGACTCTATAATGTAGTTAAGAATTTTATCTTGCTTTTAGTAAAGGTTAGCCCTGCTGTCAGTCATTCTCATTTGACAGACTCTGTTTTTGAGATTGGAAGGGCAGAAAACACTGCCTCACTAGTGTAATAAGGAATTACAGCTGAAATCCTTAAGCTATGAAGAGGAATTCAGTGGAGAGGGCTTCGGAATCTGCAAGCTTTTGAGTTGCTACAGTTAAGATTGCCCTACAGCCACTTACATGTAATTTCTTTTATCAAACATGTTGACCCTAATCTAGATTTTAAAAAATCTAAAAGCTCTCTGGCTGCCACAAAGTCGGTGCAAAGTCAGCAGGTAGTTGCCTTAACTCTTGAGTTGAGCCTTGTAGTGGTACAGTTGGTTTTTCAGGTTAGAATACGGACTGCCTGTTTGCCTGTTGATACTGCCTGATGTTCTGTCACTGTTAAATAATTAATCTACAACTTTTCTGTCAGGCCACAGGACAGCAGGTGATTTTACTAAAATTGCAAGATAAATTCTCTCTGCATTTCCAGCACATACTCCCCCAGCCCTGTCTGGTGCGCTGGTCTACTCACCATATGAGTGTTTCTGAATAGCCAATGTTGGACACTCTGTGCTTTTGGCAGGAAAGCAAAATTTTACCAGACACAAAATAACCAAAAGGGTATAGGACATATTTACTCTCATCAAACAGATGAAAATTCTAACAGATTGGATTTGTCCATGGCCATGTTTTATCTGAGTCTTAGACCAGCATTGGTGCATAGTTATTACAGCAAAAGAAAGAAATGAAATTGTAGCAATTATGTAAATGAATATGTTGACCTCTTAACACCTGTTACTAGTGGACTTCCTGTGAGGAAGTTAGCTTTTATTTTTTTCCCCTGATGAAATGCTTTTTGTTTTAAAAATCTTAATTCTTCTCCCCACATCCTTCCAAAGTGTGCTTACTTCAATTGTTTAATTTAAGTGAATCTTGTATGTGTTGAGGTGATTTGAGGGGGGCAAGGGTGGTTGTTTTTGTGTTTCTTCTTCTTGGGACATCCATTAGGCCTTGAAAGGATCTTTCCTTTAGGTCATATTCCTCAGAAAGTCTTCAATCTTCCTTTGTTTTTTGTTTCTTTTTCTTAAAGAATATTTTTAAAGCTTAAATTTGTATATTAATTTAGGACTTTATTTAGAAGTATAGGCTGTCTTTGGTGGCAGCAGTATATTCTGAAATGTCTCATAGATATATATTTTTGAATAAAGATGGTGTTGTTGAACAACATTGTGTGATGTTTATTTTCCCCACTCCCTTAGGAAAACTGAAGGCTTTCTTTGTAAGCAGTGGTTGACTTCATACTCACCAATAGAGATTGGGCTGTCTGCACTGAATCTTGTCACTTAGGAGTGTGGCTGACTGTTGTTAACTGCTGTCCAGTCATTCTTGACCCATAGCAACCCTGTATACAATTTCTGAGGAGCGGCTGGTGAGCTTGAACCACCAACATTGCAGTTCAAACTAACTTTGCGATACAGTGCATTAACCCACAGCACCACAGCAGAACCAGAGAGGCCTATAAATACTTAGTACTTGCATAGTCTTTTCTGGTTCTTTCCAGGGGCTTAATGAGCTTTAATTATCTAACCGAAATAGTGCCCAGGAAGAGGTACTGCCATAGTTTTATCCTCATACGAAAGTGGGAGCTGACAGAGAGGTGAGATGACAGCCCCCAGAACTATACAGCCAGGCTGGCAGATGAAAACATGGAAGTTCTGTGATTTCATCAGTTTTGTTCACACTGCGAGGCCTTCTGAGAGCTGTTTGGTTTGGGGCAGTATGTGGAAAGTCGCTCTGAACAGTAAGAAACACAAGACAATTGCAAACCCAAGTAGTATGTCTCTTAGAAAGATTTTTATGGATTTCCTTGTTCTTTTCACTTTTAAATTTAACGATAATATATTGATGAGTGTTATTAGTTACAACTTAAAAAAAACAGAAAAATAGGTTTGAATTAAGTTTCAGGCAGTTAGTACATATTGAAAGTATCTTTTTAGCCTTTCTACTGGGTGAGGCATCATTAGCTAAGAAAAGAAGGGTTACCCATTCATCTTGTGAGATAATAAAAGAACTACCTGTGTGCTATCAAAACTCAAAGCAAGTCAGTCTAGATTAGGAAAATCAAAAGTCTGCATGATCCAAGTTCTGTCTTAAAACATGAAGGTTGAATGTAATATGTGAATCTCAGGAGACAAGATTGCCTTCATGTCCATCCCCAGGTTTCATTGCCTAGTTAATTTCTTCGTTCCTGTCTATAAATAGTGAGTCCATAATTCCTCAGATTTAGTTAGCACTTCAGGCTACATAGTGTGGTTCTGAGGTCCTCAGAGCTGAAGTGGAACTACCCGACAGTTCATGAATCTGCCAAAATGCTTGACTTTTGTGATTAGAGCCGTTAATTCTGAGTGACCTTCCTAGGCCTCAGTTTTCTTACCTATCAAATGTGATATTAAACGAAATTGTTTCTAGGCTCCCTGCCAACTCTAAAAGCTTATGGTTGTGTTACATAAGAGGAACTAAGGGTGCCATATCCAAATTCCTAATATTTGATGGGGAAATAAATAGCATCATTGTGCTGCGTGCTTTTCTTGTTAGGTGCATTGAGGTAGCTCCAACTCACGGTGACAAGTATAAGATCAAACATTGCTCAGTCTTGCACTGTCTTCACGTCCTCTGGTATGTTGAAGCTTTCATGTTGATTGTTCTCATTGAAGGTTTTGCTCGCTTTTATTGCCCCTCTACTTTAAGAAACATAATGTCTACTAGCAATTGGTCTTTCCTGGTGATACACAAAGTAAGCAAGACAGTCGGTCACCACCCTCACTTCTAAGGAGCATTTGCTTGTATTTCTTATAAGACTAATTTGTTCTTCTGGCAGTCCATGGTATTCTTTGCCAGCACCACAATTAAAAAAAAAAATAAGTTCTTTCTTAATGTGCTGCATACTCTTAACAGCATATAAGGAACCCTAGAGATTATCAGTGTATAAAATAAAAACTGGCCCGCATGAACCGCAGCCACCTCTAACCTGAGACCAGAAGACTTAGATGGTGCCCAGCCACTCTGACCAGGAACACAATTGAAGATCTCAGAATAGGTAAAAAATGTAGAACAAAATTCATACAAAAAATAAAAACAAACTTAACTGGTCTGAAAGAGATGAGGAACTCGGGATTATTGCCCTAAAATAACATAACTTGAAACTGACCACACTCCTGGAGTCTACCTTTCATCCAACTCATAGATTATTGTCAAGTGCCACTGAGTCGATTCTAACTTCAGGGAGCAGCTGGTGGGTTTGAACCACTGAGCTTGTGGTTAGCAATACAGTACTTATCCAATAGCACCACACCAAAACTCCAATTCATAGATGTTTTTAAGTGCCATCGAGTCGGTTCCAACCTATAGCGACCCTGGAGAGGTAGGGTTCCCAAGGAGAGGCAGGTGAGCTTGAACCACCAACCATGCAGTTCAAATAGACTCTGTAGTACAGTGCATTAACTCTTAGTGCCACACCAGGACTCCAAGTCACAGATACGCTATAAAATAACACCTGGGAAGAATGTGCTCCTTATAACAATCAACTGTACCAGACTAGAGAAGCAACATTTCCCCAAAACGCAAGATGAGAAGGCAAGAAAGGGTAGAGAAACAGGGTGAATGGAAAGGCTACCCATAGGAAGGAAACAATTTTTGCATGTATTATTGATGGGAAAATGATTTCTGGTGTCAACTTTCACCTAAAGCACAATCTAAAAAAAAAAGACATGTCAAGACTAGGAAGATGGGGGTAAACTCAGAAGTTCACCATCTGGGTTTAAGCTACCTGCAT